TCAAGCAACAGTTAAGCGCTCAGTTCTTTTCATTTTTCTGCCTGCTCAGCAGTTCCTAATTTTCATTGTTTAGAGTAGTTTTTTCTTTTTGACAATATATATAATTATATGATTATCTTCACAATTCAGTTTGCAATGTCCAGTTCACTTCTGTAGTTCAGACATGCTCCTCTAGCATCGAATGTCTGTCCGCAGATTAGCTGGGATGGCACCATCGTATCTGTCGTTCCCTAGGACTCCATCTGTTTCCTTCTGCTTCCTGGCATGTTCTCAAAGCTATCCTGATAAAGGCAGCGTTTTCCTGAGATTTAGCCCTGTGCTATATTCCTTCTGCTTTTGTATGACTATTAAATGTGATTTTTTTTTTTAATTGACTCCTTGGAGCCCTAACTTGAGGTGGAGATAAGAGGAAAGCAGGGGGAATGGATTTAAACTGGTAAATCTCTAGTGCACAAATTCTTATCCAGCCCTGCTGTTAGCTGGAGACTGCTCTCAGCCCAGAGCCCAGTTGTGTTGCAACTCTAGCTCTCTGAACAATTTTGCTTCTGTCAGTGACTACTCCAGACTAGGCCAACTGTTCCTGGACCGCTGCGGCCTTTTTGTCACAGTGCTGGTGGGCAGTGCCTGCTAGCGGCATTTGGTCCTCAGGGAGCCACTTAAGCCTCTCTGAATGAAGCTGCTAGTCGATCATAGGCTATCAAAGCCTGTCTTTCTGAGGGTGTACGTAAAGGTAGTACAGTTAGCATAAGGATATCGCCATGATATGTTTGAGGGCAGTCCTTGTACTTAGAAGGGCTGAAGACGCTAATGTTTCCTAATTGACGGCTTATTCTGGAGGAGATGATCAGGCAGTGCTTTTCCTGGTTTCTGTTTCACTTCTAGTTTTTCATAGCAGGTGGTGGTGAAAGATGATAACATTACAGGCGAGATGAGTAGACAGTGAGCTGGACTGAAAACTGGCTGGATGGCAGAGCTCAGAGGGTTGTGATCTAATTGCAAGCCAGTATCTAGCAGCATCCCCTAGGGGCCAATACTGGATGCAATCCTGCTCAGCGATGAAAAATGCCACCTGGAGGGTGGGACAGAGTACACCCTCGGGAAGCTCGCAAAACTGCGAGGAGTGGCTGGTGCACCAGAGGACTGTGCTGCCATTCAGAGGAACCTTGACAGGCTGGAGAGATGGGCGGAGAGGAACCTTATGAAGTTCAATAAGGGGAAGTGCAGAGTCCTGCACTTGGAGGCATAATCCTATGCAGCAGTGCAGGCTAGGACCAGCTGAGGGCAGCTTTGCAGAGAAGGACATGGGGATCCTGGTGAACAAGTTGAGCGTGAGCCAGCCACGCACCCTTGTGGCAAAGAAAGCTTACGGTATCCTGGTGTGTATTAGGCAGAGTGTTGCCAGTAGTTTGAGGGAGGTGATCCTTCCCCTCTACTCAACTGTGGTGAGGCCATACTTGGAGTACTGTGCCCAGTTCTGGGCTTAGCAGAACAAGAGACCTGGTGCTACTGGAGCAAGTCCAGCAAAGAGCTGCTAAGATGATGAAGGGACTGGAGCATCTCTCATATGAGGAAAGGCTGAGAGAGCTGGGACTGTTTAGCTTGGAAAAGAGAAGACTGTGGGGGCAGGGGGAATCTTAGCAATGTGTATAAATATCTGACGGGAGAGTATAAAGAAGATGAGGCCAGACTCTTCTCCGTGGTGCCCAGCGATAGGACGAGAGGCAGTGAACACAAACTGCAACGCAGGAAGCTCCATCTGAACACAAGGAAAAGCTTTTTTACTGTGGGTGACTAAGCACTGGAACAGGTTGCCCAGAGAGGTTGTGGAGTGTTCATCCTTGAGAGATATTCAAAAGCCACCTGGATGTGATCCTGAGCAGCCTGCTCTAGGTGACCGTACTTGAGCAGTGGGTTGAACTGGATAATCTCTGAAGGTCCCTTCCGACCTCAACCGTTCTGTGATTCTGTGACCTTACACTAGACATACAGCACTCTTAATTTTCTGGATGCAAAGTCTTAAAAACAACAGGTACTGTTAAAGAAGTGCGCGAGTGTGTGGGCAGACGAGGTGGATATAGAGGGGCCAAGGGAGAAGTGTTGGTGACAGGCTGAAAGTAAAACTTCTGTAGGGATTAGGTGTTTGAGGAGATGAAAAAAGTTCTCCGTGAAGAAACTGAGCTTCACATCCAGGTTAAGTAAGAGACTTCTAGAGAAGCTAGAGACACTAATCTCTTATGTAGAAGGCTAGAAAGGGCTCGGAAACACGTTTACAAAAGTTTGCGCTAGTATTGCAAGGGTAGGTTATTGAATTTGTAATCCACGTGAATTCCTTTGGGATCGGCATCAGCTTAGGCAGCCCCTATTGCTTTCCTGGGCTCCACCGCCCCCAGTCCTGAGGCGCTTGTTCCCATCTGCACCCTCTTCCTTCTGCTGTGCCAGGGAGGCTGAATAGCAAAGGCAGATCAAAGCTGTTCAAAAGCTGGAAAAAATACATTTCTCCAAGTTGTTGTTGGTTGGATCCGTTTCCCAGTCTAATCTATTGTGGACTGTGCTAGCCAGCGCCAGAGCTGATGTGGGATCTGCTTAACCTGGCTTATAGGCCACACCGCTGCCAAAGTGGATAGCGTTGTTGAACATCCTTTCCGTCCTGGCTGTTCTAAAGAAAGCTCCTAGCGAGGAGGCACTTATGAAAGAGGGTCCTGAAGGACACTCACGCAGTGATGTGAGAGACTTGCTGGAAACTGTGGCTGTCAGATGACTTAGACTCGTTTTTGTAAGTTAATCTTTAACTTGTGCAGATGGAGGAAGTCAGAGCTGAAAGTCTTTTGGATCGCTTAGTGAAGTTTCCTGTTGATGTAAGCACCAGTATCATGTCCTTCACTTCACATGTTTATTCAGATTCACCTTAAACAGTGGGATTTCTTACCTCCCATTAGTCATTTTCTTTTAAGTTGCCAAAAACAAGTGTGGGGCAAATTTACCCTTGGATAATTAAAATACTAATACAGAATGGAGTCTCCTTCCCTGGAGATATTCAAAACCCGTCTGGATGTGATCCTGGGAAATATGCTCTAGGTGACCCTGCTTGAGCAGGGAGGTTGGACTAGATGATCTCCAGAGGTCCCTTCCAACCTAAACGACTCTGTGATTCTGTGATATTACATGGCTGCTCCAGTATGTCGAATAAGCTTGTTTATTCTACACAACTAAATAGCAGTTAGTTGTGAGTAGTAGTTAGTGGTCGTATTTTCCCCTGTAGTTAGAAATTCGTACCGCAGTAAGGTAAGCTTGAACATAGTCAGGAGTTAGAATACCAGTGCTGCTTGCTGTTCTTTAGCTAATTAAAGAACAACAGTGTTAATGCCTTTTCTAAATGACTTAGCAAATGAAAGGGGTTTTTCTTCCCCTCTGCATGTAAATGCTTTATTCCTAAGGGAATAAAAGACTGTACGTGCATAGTGGAACCAAGAATTTTCCAAACTCAGTGGTTCCATGTATCTACATTGTATTTCAATCCATAGCTATATTAATCAATGGAGTAGTAAAGACTCACAGAATTGTTAACTTGTAATTTAAATTATTGGTTAAAACTTGGCCCCAAGGCTGCCGTAATCTAGTTAGCTGTGTTGGACCGCCTGCTTGACCTGCACGAATTGGATCTGTCAGTTCAGTTTCTGCTACATGCATCACAGTTAATACCAACTGGCATGCTTTTGTGCCAGATGGTCCAAAAATTGGTGAACAAGTATTACAAATTTTCTTACCTCTGTCACGTTTTCAGGAGTCAGAGTGGAGGCGTATTGCCAGAACAGTATGAATGGGACTTGGCAGTATTGTTCATGTTTTGTCTTTTAATGGCTAGAGTTGGTCATTCCAACTGTCATTTAGTTTTGCATGACCACTTAATACAGTTTAAAATGTAAACATGTGCAATATATTTTGTAGCTCCTTGTCAGAAGTGTCTCCCAAACTGTCCTTTGAAAACAAACTCCTATTCCCTCCTGGGTAGGAAGGGGAGCTTTCCTTGTTTACAGAAAGCTGAAAGTAGTTTGTCAGAAGTCACAAACTTTGATTTTTGCACATAGGTATAGAACATGCATATGCATCCAGGGGAGAGAGTGACTTGCAACCCGTGTAGCTCTATATTTTACCTGTATAGCTTCTGTTAGGTAAGTAGTTATCGTTGCAGTAGTAATAGAGGCAGCTATTGGAGAGAGACTAAGAAGTCAAAACCTGACTTCTCTGTGTGAATTTGTGTGGAATTCAAGTAGCAGAATAATAGCAGTATAAAGAGATGAATATATCAAAAAATAAACAAATATACCCTAGCACTTTATATTGAGGGGAGAGATGTCATTTAGGCTAATAAAGTTTTTCTTTTAGCTTTGGAAAGGTTTGCCATGTTTCTGGTGGCTTTTGGTTTTGTCCTTGCTTCCGTGTTTCAGTGGGGTGACTGACCAACTGTTGCATACTTTGCGAAGATGCTAACTGCCTGACGTATCGCAAGAACGATTCTTACGTTGTATGGTTTAAGATGAGAGTGACCAAGGCTGTTTCTCTTTTTAAGCTGTATCAGCTGGAGTAGTTACCACAAGAACCTGTTAGCCAGCAGTGACTACGAAGGCACCGTCATCCTGTGGGATGGGTTCACGGGACAAAGATCCAAAGTCTACCAGGTAACGCGCAATCAGTAAGCAGTACTGTTTTTCCCACCCATGGACCGTAACATTGGGGGACAGTGTTTGGTCTAAGATGTTGCTTTTAGTCCAGCAACAGGCTTTAGGTTCCACGAGGTGAAACAGATGTGCCTCCTGTTTGGCAAATTTCTTGTCTGAACAGCTTTATTGTGCAGCAGTCCTCTAGCAGAGGTACCTATATCTTCTTGTCACAGTAATGGTTCTATGTAAAACAGTTCTACATGATGATTTATAAGAGGCCTGCGATCAGAACAAGGAGGTTGGAAGAGAAGATGACCAATTTGGTTGGAAAGGATTGGAAATGCTGCAGAGCACTGTGCTGGGAGCATAATGCATTTTAACTGGTCAGTGATGATGAGTGAACTGCAGACTAGCCTTTAGCTTCCTTATCTTGACAGTTCAATGCAAGTTTTTAGTTCCTATTTAAGCCTTGTTTACTTTTTTGTGTTTTAGTCATAAGCATAATCTTGTTTTCATTAATCCTTTGCATGTCTCAGTTAAAAAGAAATTATACCGGACAAAATCTTGTCTGTTTTCCTCTCAAATGTATTTTGCATTTCTTTATGAAGCCAAAAAATGAACCTAGAGAGGACCAGCTGTTCCTTGTGTTAAAACAAACTAACTTTGCTTCCTATCAGATTACTTGGTTATTTTTATTTGGATTTACATAGATTGAAGAATGCATACTGGCATCTGCTTCACATTTTAGAAGCCTTTTAATTATCTTGTCCTGGCTAGCTTTTCATGTCATCTTCTTGCTAGCCTGTACAAAGGCATTAAACAAAGGCTTTGACTGAATTTCAGGTTTCATTCAATGCAGCGTTATGTTTCCATGTGGGAGGTGCCTGTGTGGCAAATGCAGCTCTTCAGTGTTTTGGGAGTGTGCAGGCTTGTGCTTATGATTGGAAAACCCCAGGATGAGACACCACAAGTTTTGTTTAGTACCTCAATTGGAAGGTGAAGTTTTCCTCCGCTTTCAGAGGGGGGAGGTATTTGACATGGCTTAGAATAGATGTTGTATCAATATTAGGCAATGCAGCTGTCTTGTATTAGAACAGAAGCAGCCCGCAGTGGAACAACAGTGACTCAAGCCATGCTGGAAAAACAGATCTTTAGCATGTTTTTCTTGAAATCACTACTGCTTTTTTCTGAGTGGGGGAAAAAAAAACAGTTGTAGCTTTTTAAATTGCTTTTCCAGTATTTTCTTCTTTCATGGCGTGTCTAGCATGCTACAAGCATTGGTCTGATTGGGAGAAAAGACTGTTTGAGAACCTGCTAAACATAGTAAGCTTCTCTGTCCAGGGGTCTCCTGACAATTTATGCCTAACAGCATATGTTTTCCTTTCACTATTTTATCAGATTATAGCTCACTCTATGTTCTAATACTTTCCTTGTTTCTGTAAACAGGAGCATGAGAAAAGGTGCTGGAGCGTTGACTTTAATTTGATGGACCCTAAGCTATTGGCTTCAGGCTCTGACGATGCAAAAGGTATTTTTCTTTTTAGTCTCTGTGCAGAAGGCTTGCACTTTGTGAATTCCCTTTAAGAGAAGAAAAAGATGATGTTTCAAGTAGCTGATTCCTGAGCTGCCCTCGATATTGTAGCTGATATACTAATGTGTCAAGATATTACTGAACTGTTCAGGACTTTGAGGCTTTGTTTGGATTAAGATTTCTTGGTGTGATGCTCCTGTCTTGGGAGTAATAGGCTCTAGCTAGCATTTTCCGGGACACTAAACAAAGCAAAATGTGTTTTAACATTAGTTAAGCTTGTTGAGGTAAATCCTTGGGGCCTTTGAAAGAAACAAAAGTGTTTCTTTCAAAAATGAGATTGTTGGTGAAAAAGCGAAAGTGCCTGATGATCAAAACCAAATGTTAAATCTTGTGCACAAGGAGAAGCCTCTTGATTTTTATGATGCAGTGTGTTTCTCAGAGCTTAAGAGTTGGATGAGGGACCGAATGAGAGCATTGGGAGCAACTCTTGACTTCCTAGGCTCCTGGGTCCTTTTGCCCTAGGGCTTTTTTGGAGAATCCTTAAGGCACCTGTTTATAACATACTGGTTGAGGAATGTTCCTCCTCTAAGAAGAAATAGTAAAGTTTTAAAGAAATAAAAGGATAGCAGAGAGACATGTAACATTCTTAATCCTTAAATATCAAGATTACATCTGCGATTTATTTACAATGTCAAATTAAGAGTTACTAAGCAGCAAGAGCTTTTTTGAGTTCTGTAGTCAGTGGAGATGAGCTCTCCCATACGGGCTGACACACTGTGTTTCAAAGCTAATCACGAACTGCTCTGTCCAATAAATTAATTTTTCGTAAACATTAAATATTGCAAGCCTCTGCCCGCTAAAACGCTTTTAAACTTTGTTTCAAAAGAAAGCTATATTAGTGTTCCTCAAATGCATTTGACGTTCTCGATGTAATTGGTAATTTCACTTACAAAAATGTAGCTTTCATTATCACTTCATGTGTAAGGTGGTTTAGAAGTTTTTTGATACTTCTCCTATTTGGTGGAAGTGAAGAGTGTTTTCTGTGCAATTAAATGCAGCAAGAGAGAACGTTCGCCTTGTAATTACCCACCTTTTCATCACTTTGCTCCCCACTCATGCTATGCATTTTAGAAAAGAGCTTATCTTCCAGATAGACATGCACCTCTTGGCATGTTAAGAGGTTGTCCAGCTTTGCAAAGCTGCCTGGAAGTAGAACTCTAATCTCTAGTTTAAGTTTTTCTTCATTAATAACTTCTAAAAATTGCAGTGTTTACTCAGAAATAGTTGTAATAAAGTTTGCAGGTCTGCATAACTTGCATTTCATTTCAAGAAGTGTCTTACTTTTAAAGTTAGTGGGTTTTTTGGTGAATAATACTTGTCTGGAAAGTTTCATCCATTGCTTCTGCCCCTTTTTGACTGTGGTTTGCATATGTAACGCATACGTTAATGACGAGTGAAGTCCTGTGTGAAAGTATAGGAAATAGGCATAGCTTTTAGAAGTCTTTATAAGTTACAGAGAGAGAGAGCAGCAAATTTCTAAATCCAGCTAATGCTATAGCATCCAAATTCCATTTCAGTGAGTGTGTTGGAAGGGCCAAGTACATGGAAAAGATGACACCTGTGATGAGTTATCTTAAACCAGCTCTCTAACCTGCCCCAGTTAAATTTTTGCCTTTCTGCTTATCGTGTGTGTGTTATCTGAGTGAGTTTTGGCTTTGGATATGTAGCAGTGACATGCTTGTTTGGTCAGGTGCAGCATCTGGTGGGAAGCTCAAGATCTGCGTACCCTTTCGATTCTCTCTTACTTCTCTGCTTGTGTAAGGGTACACTGGACTTACCCATAACTGTCAACATTGACATTTCTTGTCGGAATGACCAGAACGATTGGAACTAATCTCTCTGCCCTTCCCCGAAAAGCATGGTTATAAAATATTCCTGTCAAGTGATCAGGAAAAGTTAGCAAAAAAGCAACGTCTTTTCTGTCTGCCTGTGTCTCCTCGGCTTTTTCAAGCTGGAGGCTAACTTTTAAGTACTTAGTACACTCAATAGGCATGTGTTGGGAAAGGAGGTTTTAGATGAATAATCCTATCATCAGTGCTTCGCATCCTTCTGCCAGGCTCAGAAATGGCAAAGGGGGTGCTAATGAACGGAGTGCCACTGGGGAGAAAATGATTCTGAAATAATGAGAAACATCATCCTTGGGCCTTGGGTCCCACCTAATTCTCTTCAATAAGTGGAGATAATATGCTTATTTGTGGAAAATCTTTCTACTTTAATATCAGATAATGGGAGCATAGAAGTGTTATTCTATTCCAAATACCTACCGCGTTTATAGATAAAAATGAGATTTTTTTATAGCTGTCATGCTCTTCCCTTTTAAAGGGGCAAAGGTAGTTGAATATGTCTATAGGGACGCAAAGTTGTATGCCAGCTAGATAGTGGTAACCAAAATTGAGGTGTTTAATTGTGCTACAAGCATCTTGGGAAACTGCACAGGCTTAATGTACTTGGAAATACAGACGCTATAAGTCTTATTTAAGTAGCAAAGGGTAACGTTCTACTATTTGAATAGAAAAGATTATTTAATTTTGCAAGGGAGGAAAGTCGCTGGCACTTTGCTGGTGACTTACAGCTGCTTTTTAACCCAACATTGTTGTCTGTTCTCGACTGGGGATGTAGATTAAGAGCCAGAGTAGAGCTGGCAAGTGAGAGCAAAATATTTGGTGAGGTCATGTGTGGAGATTTAAATCTCCATCATGGTAAAGATGTGTTCTGAGGCGGTCTTAAGGAAGTTACCTGACAGGTTGCTTGTAGAAGATGGTCAAGCACTCATCCCCTGTTCTGGGATTGTTTTCAAAGCTCTCTGAAGCACATGGAGATACAAGCAATATCAAGAAATGTACCTAAGAGACTCCTGATTTTATGTCCTTTCTGTAAGCTGTAGTCTCTTCACCATTCCCAGCTGAAAGTAGAGTGGTGGAGCAGGAGAGGAACATGCAAGAGCACTGGGCCATAGTGAGAGGTTACTTTTCATTGCCTCATGACAAGGAGTGCGCACATCTGTTTTTACTGGAGAGAGTGCAGCAGAGGGCTACGAAGATGATTAGGGGACTGGAGCATCTCTCCTATGAAGAAAGGCTGCAAGAGCTGGGCCTGTTCATCCTGGAGAAGAGAAGACTGAGAGGCAATCTCATCAATGTGTATAAGTATCTGGGGGGGGGGAGTATCGAGAGGATGGGGCCAGACTCTTCTCTGTGGTGCCCAGCAAGAGGACAAGAGGCAACGGGCATAAACTGAACCACAGGAAGTTCCATCTGAACATGAGGAAAAACTTCTTCACTGTGAGGGTGAGTGAGCACTGGGCCAGGTTGCTCAGAGGTTGTGGAGTCTCCTTTGCTGGAGATATTCAAAACCCGTCTGGAGGCGACCTTGGGAAACATGCTCTAGAGGACCCTGCTTGAGCAGGGAGGTTGGACTAGACGACTTCCAGAGGTCCCTTCCAATCTAAACCATTCTGGGATTCTGTGATTTTTTTTTTTTAATTGCATTTAGGGAAGGTAACTTCCATACTGCCTTGATAAAGAAATAAGACTATGCGTTCCAATCCTGCAGCTGTTTGTGGTAACCCTAACTTCAGTGGGGCAACACAGTTCTGCTGAGTTGACTTCATAAAAAGGAAGCATGGCCTTGTAGATAGAAAACTAGCCTAAGAACAGATCAGAGTTTCCACCCCAGCTTTGCTGAGGACTTCCAGAGGGTTGTCTGAGGTTTCATTTTTCCTAGATACTGAGCTCCTTCGGCTTCTGCTGACTTTTAAATGGAGGTTTAGGTGTCTCCTGCTCTTAAAATCAGGTTGAACTTTCAGTTTGTTCATTTTCCTGGCTAAGGGGAAGTAGGATAATTTCCTGGAGATTTGTGGGGTGGTTTGATTCAGTGGGGAATACCTCAAAAGGCCAATAAGATGTTGGTAGGTAAAGAGACAACCAAAATTTTCTGGCTGGCTGTGTCTTAGGCTCTCCATTGGCAAGGAGGAGTACCCTGCAGTCATTGCCTGGTAACACTGCTCAGTTTACAGCCTGGGCTCAGTACCTTTGACCTGCACAAGACAGTGGATGGAAGCTTTCACCAACCAGGGCAATTCAGCAGCTTGCTCCTGGCTTCCTCTGTTGCTAAGAACTCCTTAAATCTATGCAAATTAATGTTCTGGTAGGACTACTCCGTTCCAGGTTTACAGCTTTCTTGGAGCACCAGCAGCCTCTTCGTCATGTGAGCAGGTGAAAGAGTGGCAGGAGAACAACAGGCTGAATGAAATATCCTTGCTACCGGTGTACTGACTGTGTATGTTGGCTTGTAGTAGTAGTTGTATGAGTATGCTTCAGCATGCATCTCGTTCCTTTATTGCAGGCATGTAAGTATGGCTCAGTTACACTTGCTTTAGCTCCAGCCAACTAAAAAGAAATTTGAAAAAAATGTAAATGTCTTACACCAAGAAAGGCACTTTAGTCATCTTCCTTGTTTGGTGAGGGGAGGATATTTGGCCTTGTGGAAAGATGTATCTCTCAGCAACAGCAAAATTAGGAAACATATGCTTTGGGAACATGTGTTTTAGGAATAGTTGATCTCAGATGGTTGCTTGCCTCATCAACACAATTCTGAGTGTTATCAAGACATCTGTATGTTATATAATTACTGCTTCGACCTCAGCAAAACTGCTGAAAACTACAGCAAATAAACTCTACCCTCATGAATTATACTTTATTAACCTGTCAGTTCTTTTTAAAAAAATAATGGACAACTCCAGGTAGAACTTGGCATGTTTCATTATGTGGTGGTATGTGTCATGTATATCCTTTTTTATAGCACTGACTAAGCTATAATTGGAGCCTAGCGTATTCCACAGCACTTAGATCACAGAAATTGCTGTAGATCCTAATCTTTGTCTGTCAGTTGTAACGCATATTATGATGACTTTGAGCATGCAGCTTGACTATTCACCAGATGAAATAGCTGAGTTTATGACCTGAAGACTTAAATGGGGGGAGGAGAGCTAAGTTGAAACTTAGCCCTCAATTAGCGTCTGCTACAAAACTGAGACCAAACGGCTATTCATTTATTAGAGACGGTGTCAAGAAGAGACTTCTCTGTTTCGGACACCGCTTTAAATATTGATACCTAGTTAGAAGGCTTCAAGGCAATCTTTGTGTGTACTAGATCTGGGCACAGCATTGCTTTGAATTGTGAGCTCATTTAACCTCCTTGCACTTTTTTTAGTTTAATGTTGTCTGCTGACAGTGTTTCCTTTTAACCATAGCATTACTTGCTTCCTATGCCATCACATCCATAAATTTGATGTCCTCTACTGCCACTGCAACATAGACTATACATCTTTTGGTGTCTGTTCATTGAAGTAAAATGCCAATGTTTTATTGTTTTGCAAAATTCTGTTTGTCATCTCCCTTTTTATCCCATCCTGCCCAGTGCAAACACAATGGAGGTGGCATATTCTCCAGCCTCTCTTGGGGGAAGAGAGTATCGTAAGCCATGCTTGCAAAGCTGTTTGAGTTTTTTGATTTTTAGCTTTTTTCTTTTTCTTTCAGAAATGCAGCCAGATGTTTAGAATGTATATTATAGCTCTGGTAAATGTGAATGGGTTTATTTTTGAAAACTAACAACAGAGTGGGTGCTGTTTTCACTGCATTTTTACGTAAGGCTTATATGCAAATGCGGTATGCATCAGTGTCTGTGTTTGATGGATATGTGTGATGCTTTAGAATGGTTCCAGACAGCTGTCAGATACCCACACACTGCCATTTAAAATGGTTCCTTAGTGTACTCTGAGTAGCTGTGTATTTCCTTCATTGTTGAAGCAGTTCTCCTAGATATGGTCAGAAGTAGTACTTTTTACAGCTTGCAAACAGTGAAAAAGCAGGTGCACTAGAACAAACCTACCAACGTTCTTCCTTTTCCTCGACCATCGAAAGCATCCTTGAATCATCCATGTGGAAGCCTTGTTTCTCCTTCAAAGCTCCTAGGAAAGAATGGCCAAGAGATGATACAGAGGAGCACTGTAGTGGGGGCGGGGGGAGGGAATAACTTACAATTCTGGTCACGTTTTTCTTGACCGCAGTGGGAAAATGGGATTCCTGCTCTTTGGCCAGTTCTTGCTCCTCCAAAGTGAGCCCTCAGTAAAAAGACACCAGAAGGTCCTTTTGACTACAGATCTGAAGATGCCCAGTCTGCTCTCGAGAGCTGTTTAGGGGGTCCAGCCTTCATGTGGCTTGTCTGTATTCACAAGCATTGGCTTTGACTTGCTCTGCTCCCCTCTTCAGATGCTGTTCCTGATACTTGAGGACAGCAAAACCATCCCTTTGCTCAAGAAAAGGGGGAGAGGGAACAAAGCACGTTCTTAGAGTTGACCACAGTCTGTCTTGGAGGCTTCTCCTGGGCTAATATCAGTTCACCTGGGCTGAGAGCAAAGTGTTTAGTCTGTGGTTTGTAAGCTATGCAGCTGTGCTTGGTGAGATTGGCTGTGTGGGGACCACCTGACACTCTTCATCTTTGAGTTTAAATAGCACTTGAAGTGTTCGGGGAGGATGGGGAAGGCTATATTTGAAAAGCTTTTGGTGTTTTTCTCTTATTCTTCCTGTGAAATGGACTGAAGTGAGTACTTGGGGGAAGAGCTTGTACTGTACAACGGTTTAATTGATGTTCACACAGTAGACCCATAAAACACTAGAATTCTTTGTACTGAGAAAATATCAACATAGGAAGCCAGCATACTGATTTCTTTCCTGCCAATGCCAGCTTTAAGAGTGAAATAAGTTATTCTTGGTAACTGTGTTTAAGCATACAATCAGGTAAACTTATTCTGCGCAAAGCCATTCTGCCTTGGAAAATGGAGAACTCTGGATCACAGCTAGGTGACAAAGAACAAACAGGATTATCGCCTTCCTGCTCTTGGTTACGAGTCTGCGGTCCGGTAGCCTTAAACACTGAAACTCTAACATGTGGTTAGACACCTGCTGCACGCTTCTGAGCCACACAGGATGTGGACTTTTCATTGTCTGGCATGTGTTGGAGATGTGTAGAATATTTACAGTACTCAATGTTTTCAAGCTTATTAGGCATAAACTACAAATTAACTGTTTACAGTCATTGACTTCTTTCTCTTGGCAGCTGAGGTTTTCCAGAATCTTATTTATGAAGCAACTAGATGTTATGCCTTGCAGATGAGTGATTTCTTTGTTTACTCATTTCTTTTTGTTTGTTTGTTTCTCTAGTGAAGCTGTGGTCTACGAACTTGGACAATTCAGTAGCAAGCATCGAGGCCAAGGCTAATGTGTGTTGTGTCAAATTCAGCCCTTCTTCTAGGTATCACCTAGCTTTTGGCTGTGCAGGTAGGTAAAAGGAACCGGGGTGGACAAAGATACTGTTTTCTCCTCTCAGTCTTACTTCCCCCAAAGATTTGAGTTTGGCAGCTGTATCCAAGCCTGAGGCATCTCTGCAGTTAAAAATTCTCTGAGCCAGATTTTTCAAGTGTACAGTCACCCAGAAGTCTAATGATACCGGAGTGTCAACTTCTTCATGCAATGCAATCTAATTTGGTGCCTGTATTGGAGATAAAAGCTCATTAAAGCAAATCACATAGCGTGGTTTTTTTGAGGTAAAGGGAACTCGGCAGATCTCAACTTTGTAAGTCTATAAGCAAGGTTAACATGTTAACATGGTTGTGGTAGTTCTTTCTGGTTCACAGCAGTGCTCTGTAAATGGTACAAAATCATACTGGGGATTTTAACTGGCTTTACCTGTGGCATATTTTAAAACAGAGGCTGTGTATGTTTCTTGTAGCTGCAACTATAATCTCCGTGGATGGGCTTATGCTTTCCTAGGTGGGGCAAAGCATCTCTGTTAAAAGGTCTCTTAAGTAGTAGTTTTTGGGTAAGGCATGATGAGCCTTTTATTCATTTAGGTTAAAATAGTTTTTGGTGATAATACAAAGACTTCAGTGGCGTGGATATCACTTTGGGGGGAAACTGCATCATGCTATACGTGCAACAGCTGAAAAAATCTGAGGTGCATGTCAGTGGTTAACCAGTCTGGTGAATAACTGCATTTTCTTTTTCCTTGGAGGTTTTTATGTACTTGTAACCATATGTTCTGATGTTTATTATCTCTGAACTTCTGGAGATATTTTGACATTCTTTCAACCAGTAGTTTGGCATTTCATTTAGGTGCTCCAGTTCCCAGGCTGTTTCTACTTAGGCTATGACTCTTAAGAGGAGCAAATAAATTTGCGTTTTGATACACTCCAAAAAATGGATTGGGATTGGAGTGTAAAATATTGACTTGTTTGACAGGCATCTCACTGAAGTTTAGCAAATTAAAATCCTCATAAATCAGTAATTGGGATTTCTTTCCACCTGAAAGCCACAGAGAGGATAAGGCACAGCTAAATCTGTGATTGGTATCAGGGATGTGAAACATGTGGAATGACAGTAGTCTGAAATGTTAATGTCCACCAGGCCATGCTCGCTCCTAATAAACTGCGATGGTCTCATCTTCAGCAAGTGAGTTTGAGTAAAGAGGCATGAACAAATATTAGGGGTTATTTGGAGGTTTAAATGACTGCATCTGCATATTTAAGGTTTAGAGAATGCTGAGGGGTAAAATGGTATTTGTCCTGGGGAAGAGTGTGTGGGAGGGAGAAAGATTAAAATTGAAAAACTGTGTTTACAGCTGCATGATGCTTGATAATTGAGTCTCTAAATAAAAATTAAAATGAGTATTTAACTATGATTGCTGAAAGAATTGCATGGAGTAAACGAACTGATGGGAATGACTTACCCACAAAGGAATTACTAATTGATCTTTCAGCCATAAACACATGTGAAAAGAGGCTTATGAAATAAAATTAAAAAATGACAAGTTTTACACAAGATGTAATACTTATTTCTGATCCCCTAAAAGTTATTGGAAAGAAAAACATTTTTTTTACTGTATATAGTATAAAAGATGGCACTGTCCTGTTTAATATGTTATGATGAAGACTAAGAGGTTTTTCTCCTCCATCAGTTTCAACTAATCTTGTTTACTGATTTCATTTAGTCTGTGAAAAAGCAATATAACTTCTAAATAGTGTGGTTTGTCACATAGGCCGTGAAATTAATAAAGGAAGAGTAAAAACTGGTTTCTTTGAGCAGAATTTGGAGGAAAAAAAAACAGATTGGACACTAATTTGGCTATCTCTTGTTAGTCCCACATAGGAATCAAGATGAGCAATGCAAAGCACTAATTGATTGACCAGTGTAACAGGAGATTTCTGAAAGCTGCCCTGTCTCTGCCTTGGCTTGTTTACATGCTTTGTGGATTTTCAGTTTTGTAAATTAATGTTTCAGTTAATTTTTCTGCAATGTACTCAATGGTAAAACTGCTCGTGTTTTCTAGCATTACACACCCAACAGAATTTTATATAGTATTTAAGCAAGAACGTTGCTCTGGTACATACTGTTTTTTCCCCTCTCTCTGTGTTGCTTTAAGGAACTTAAAGGCAGGAGAAAATCTATATTCCACAGCAAGTACTATGTTTGCAGGTAGCAGGCAGTTACAAAGGTTTGACAGTGTACGTTCATAAGCTGACTTCATGCCACCAGATCATAACATTAGAAGAACATTCTTTCATCTTCTGGACTTCAGTAGGCTGTAGCATCCTGAAATGCAGGTGTACATGTCATGACTACCTTTTCAGTCAGCAGAGTGGGTTTGTCTACTGCTAATACATTAGCACTAGCCAAATTAAAAATCTGAGATATATGCATACAGATATATATATATATATATATATATATATATATAGTGACTTGATGAGTTAAGCAGTTGATTAAATGGTTGATGTAGGGAGAATAAGTATTAGTATTTAATGTTTGAGGTGTAAAAGGAAGAAGTAAATTGATAACAATTGTTAAATGTACATATGTTTCAGTTCCCCTTTTCCTTCATATGTAGAAGAAATTGCAGGTTGGCGCACCTTGTTTTAGCAATGCAATTCTGAGTGCAACTTTAGAATTTTTTAGCACCAATGTTTTGCAAGGTGGTGTGCCTTTGAATCTTCACGTCTTCTGTTTTTATTTTCTCTTGAGGGCCTTTCTTAACCATCTTTACAGCTGAAACTCTTCTTCATAAGGTCTCCTTCTTTCACATTTTGGTGAATGGAGTGTTTCCTTTGCCCTTGACAAATGCATCTTGCACACTTGTGTCCATCTATTCAGAATGCCTCTTTGAAGTTAGTTTTCCTATTTAGATGCTTTAACTAGTTCAACATCTTTTTGAATCTCTGCTGGTTCTGCCTTTGCATTCTCCACAAAAATAGGATGGCTGTCTTGAGGTCCTTTTACCCTGTCTCCCGTTTACATATCCCTTCTCGTTTGTTAGTAAAATGTTGACTCTTGGCTCACCTCTGCTAGTAGTGCTATTCTTTTTGTGCACTGGTAAAATATTCAGACAAGTACCTTTGTGCTTTCTCCCAAACTATTTCTCCCATGAAGAACTCCCCATGAGTATCTTTCTTATTTTTCCCTTAAATTCTCATGGTGCACAGCAACACGTATGGCACGAATTAAGTGAGCTGATAGAGCAGCCTATTGACATTCTTCTTTCCCTTATATTCCCCGTATCTTTCTCTACTGTCTCTTGCCTCTGGTACTTGAACTGGAGGCTCTTTGGAGTGGGGTTAATTTCTGGTTGCACAGCGTTAAGCATGATGGCAGCTTGGCCCTTGCCCGGGGTTCCTCAGTGCGACTGCACTGCGAATAGTGACTGTCCTGTACCCACAGCTTTAGTGCTCTAGAAGGAATTCTGAACCAGAGATCTTCGTAAAAGCAGCTTATCCACCTGCACCCAGTTTATGTGCTGTATCAATCACTAAGTAAAAGGAGTGTGCTCAAGGGTTGAAATGACTGACTTTTTTCAAGGTGCAACCAGGTTGCAAACTCTTGGGCACGGTTTATGTAAATAGGCATTCTTATTCCAAGAGTTTTGGCTGTTTTCTCCCTGATGGGACCACACCGACTCTGCTAGACTGCTCGTTGCTGTTCATATACCGCTCCTCCTTGGGAGGAACATCCATTTTCCCCTCTGCTGAGTTCCTCTGCAGCTTCCTGCCCTTCCTCAGCAGCAGAAGGAGAAAATGAAATGTCTGTCTTGAATTGCCCTCTAAAAAAGTCTCGGCATGGGTTGAATTGGAATGTATTCCATCTGTGGATTTCTTAGTTAAACCCTCTGTACTTCAGTATACCTCTTGGTAAATGGGAGTAGTGATAATAGAAAGAGGTGCTGTGAAGCTTTGATTTAGGTGTAACCATGGTCAAAAATGCTGTTAGACAGTGCCCCTCCACATGGAGTTTTTCTCCTTTAGTGTCAAGTACTGACTTGGCTTCGAATAGATGCCATAGAAAACTGTGCTTTAGTTGCCACTATAGAAGCAAATCCCAAGATTATCACCTAATATGGATGAGATATATATTTCTTTTCTGGCTTCTCACTCCGAAAGCTTTTTAGATGACCAGAAGATCATTTTGGTAGCTTAAAACAGAACAAATGAGCAATAAACTGGAAGTAGAGTCTATACAAGAGAGAAATGGATATTTAGTTGAAGAAATAATTCTCTTAAAATCAGACAGGCACTTCAAGTGAGAAGGAAGCTAGAGGGTCTGACTGTACTCTGATAAAATCTGTGGCAGTGGAGAGGGCGTATAAAGAAGGAAAGATTCCTTTTGTCTGTGATTTTAATAAAATATTCTATTTGCGTGCTTACTGGGTTGAAACATCATGTAGTATAAACTGTAATCACTGCCAAATACAAAGGGGGGGGGGGGGGGGGGGGGCTTTTTTTGTTTAGGAGTGTTTTATTCTGAAATTGGCTGTATAAATCATGGCTGAAGTTGTTATTGTTCTGCCTCAGCAATACCACCAATGCCCTCCGCCCATATATTTTCCAGTAGCACTGTTTCCCCACATCAAATGGGGAAGTGGCTGAAAATGCATGCAGTCTGCAGCCAGATTGTTCAAGTTGTGCAGTCGCAGTGAGATCAGTCTGTCTGCTAACTTTAGTGAGCTACGCGTAGCTATTGATAGTAGGCAATGCTTTATTCCCAGCATGCTGTAATTCTGTCAGCAACTACCACTGACCTTTTATTTCCCATATATTATATAGAGATTAGGTCATCAAGATTTCAGTTTCCTGAATTTTTACACTAGCTACATCATCTTCTTGCATGCTAATTTTTTTTCCCCCCCTGTAAGACCCACAGATCTTGCAGGTTCAATCTGTGGGTGTTTGTGGGGAGGAAGGTGTCACAAATGCAGGCAAAGGTTGTACCTGCTCTTCAAGAGTTTTACAAAT